GTGCGTGTGTGTGTGTGTGTGTGTGTGCCCAAGATCTCAAGAGGAGAATGGAGGAGAAGGGATTGTGGTGTGGCCATCCCCCCTGGGGGTGATTTCTCACTTTCTATTTCTCTGTCTCTCTCCTTCTGGCGAGCGCTCGCGTCCTATAGCAAAAACCTCTTCAAAAAAAGAAGAAATAATTATTTTATTTAACTTTATCACCATCATTATTTTTTAGTATATTTTTCTTTAATTTTATTTATTCATGCATTTATTTTAATTTGACCAGAGAGAGAGAGAGAGAAAGTGAGAAAGCAAGCTACCAGGCCCGGGACTCGAACTAGATTCGACCATGTGGAAGTGTCCAGCACCTTAACCACCACACCACCTGCTGGTCCCCCACATTGCATTTAGCCATCAGGTCCCCTTAGTCTCCTCAAACCCGTGACAGTCCCTCAGTCCTTTATATCATTTGTGTTCCTGACACTTACCAGGTATGTTATAGAACATCCCTCTGTGTGTGTCCAATGTTTTCTAATTACTATGAGGAGGCTTTGCACTTTTGCCAGAATTCCACACAGGTGATTTGTCTGTAGTGGTGCGTCTTACCCAGGACTTTGTGATGGCTATCCCTCTTCCTACTGGTGAGGTTTACCTTGATTGCTTGGTTAAAGCAGTGCCTGCTGGAACCAGCAGATGGCGTAATGGATACGTCACTGAACTCCTACATAGTGGACCGTGGTTTGAGTCACGGACCTGGTGGCTTAAAACTCACACCAGGTGTGTGTGCGTGCAAAATCCTTAGAGAAGAATAGAGTAGAGGGGATTGTGGTGTGGCCCTCCCCCCTGGGGAGTGATTTCTCACTTTCTCTCTGGCAAGCGCATGTGCCCTATAGCAAACATCTCAGAAGCAGTGTCTGCTGAATTTCTCCGCTGAAAATGCCTTTTTCTTGGAAATTCATATACATCTTAGAGAAGAGACTATGAGGTGCAAACATCCTGTTTCTTCTCAACTGCTTTCTCACTCTGCGTATATCTACCTGTATACACGAGGGCTTTCAGAAAGTTTGTGGGAAATGTGTATTCAGGGAAAAAAAAAAAAACACGCATGATTTCAAAAAAATTATTGCACTAAATAAACTTGTATATTAATTCTATTCTTCCAGGAACTTCATAAAGTCCCTTCATATTTTCTTACATGATCCCTAATCCAACACTATCACTGTCTATTATGTTGCTGACATGGTTCCAGCTTGTTTCTGGGGCTACTCCCCTGTCCTTTGAAAATGCCCCCTCCTTTCTAAAGTACATCCTTACTTTCTATTGGGTCATTAGGAAAGTCATGGCACATTTTTACTTAGAAAAAAAAAAAAATACGGCATGACTTTTCCAGTGACCCGATAGCATCACAAGGTATTTCAGAAACAACTTTTTCTCTGCCTCAGGTCTGCAATGAACCATTTCTCCAAAAAGCTCTGGTTCCTTTTACTGGAGAATGGTGCTCAGAAACTAAGACTGCTCCTGGGGTTCAGTTGCTTCCAGGCCCTCCCAGTGGGCAGAGCTGGGAAATACGAGTGTGTATATGACCCACACCCACACACGTCTGTGCCTGTGTGTGTACTGTACCTGTATGTAGATCAAAAAGGGGGGACAGTGGGTGGCATGGTGGTTAAGGCACTGGACTCCCAATCCCTGACCACGATTCGAGCCCCTGACCTGGAGGCTTGAAAATCACGCCAGGTGTGTGTGCGCACATGCCCAAAATCCTAAGAGAAGAATGGAGAAGTGACTGCAGTGTGACCGTCTGCTGCCCTCCACCCAGGGTAAGGGTGATTGCTCACTTTCCCTCTCTCTGTCTCTCTCCTGTGAACACACACACCCTACGGCAAAAAGCTGAAAAGGGTAAGATAAAAAAGAAAGAATAAGAATGGATATTGGTTCTTCCCCTTCCAATCCAGCACCATGGGGTTGGTTTTGGCCTCCCCTGCTTCCTTATTGAGAACTTCTTTCTCTACAGTGAGAAGCCCTTTTCTCTTATTATCTGTAATATGCATACTTGTTGATTCTTGGTATATTCGTAAAATAATGTCAGCATTGCTAACCCCTTTTTGTGAGAAACACTGTTACTAGATTACATGTCTTCTTTTTCATTTTAGCTTTATAGAGCCCAGTTAAAGTACAGTTTTTCAAGGTTACTTTGGGTAGTTCCTCTGAGTTTTGTATGTTCGTTTGTTCATTTGTTCCTCCATCCCCATCCGTGTGGCTCTGCTGCACATTCGGGTTACCATTCGACTCGCTTGTTACTGTTTGTGTTCACCTGGGGTTACCCACATCCTAGCCGGGTTAGTTATGTTCATGTGGGGAGGGGTTATGGGACATCACTATGGTTGTCAGACCGCAGCCGTGCACAAGGACACACCCAGAGAAGTGTCAGACGCACTGCCCCGTTCCCATTCCCCGTCTTGCCCCCTGTTGGTGCCCACCCCTGGAGGTAACCAGCCTCTCTTTTCTTTTTTAATTGCGGGAGGGCACCTGTGCCTGCCAGAGGGAGAGGGAGAAAGCACCCTGGTATGGGGTCTGGTCATGCCACAATCCCTTCTCTTCCATTTCTCCATCTTGTCAAGATTTGGGGCACACCTACACGTGGGC